TGAAGCGCCATAAGTCATCCTTTGGCCAGTGGAATAGTCTCTGACATACTTCAACCAAAAGATTTCTGTAGGGGGGCAGTAGAGGTTATGGCAAACTATATAAACCACAACAATGAGTTCTTACTGAATTGAGCACCAGGTTGAGCATCTACAACTTTAACTTCATAGTGGAGAAGATGAAGCCTTGGGGTGTACTTGGACTATTTGCTGTATTATGTGGTCTGAGGAACAATTCCTTCTGATAAGTCATAATGATCTCCTAGCTGAGCTGCTCAACATGTAAAAATAAAGCACTTGCAGAGTTTCAAAATGGATTTATTTTGCTAATGTTCGAAGAACTGTATCTAAACCATATTAAAGAGAATAAACACACAAGTGGGTACCAAGATATTTCAGAAGTGATTTATCTACGGTGGAGGCTCTATTGGGACTGCCATCTATTTTCCATATTATCCTTCCCTTTCCTCATTGGATATGATGGTCTTTCATCTTCTCCTATAATACTTTGGAATATTTGTGTTCTTATTCCTCAGCTTGTCTTTGATTATCTCTCATGAGTTCTATCCCATTCTCTCTGTGTCTTCTCCTGTGTACCTCTCCTGCACCTGTACTTCTCCTTTTGCATCTGGGAAAGCAGCAGAAGATGGCTCAAGTCTCTGGGCTCTACACCCATGTGGGAGATCTGGAAAACACTCTGTTGGCTCCTGGCTTTGGAACCGCCCAGCTCTGGCCATTGTGACCATTTGGGGAGTGAACTAAAGGATGGAAGATCTCTTTTTCTCTCTCTCTAGCTCTCTTTCTCTGATTCTGCATTTCAAATAAATAAACAAGTATTTTAAAAAACAATGTTCTTAATTAGGAAATTATTTTGCGACAAAATAGATGCAACTGGAAAGCATTATGCTTAGTGAAATAAGCTAGCCTTGAAAAGACAATTATCTTTTCTTTGATAAGAGGCAATTAATATAGAATACAAAAAGAGTATATAGGAATGAGACAGACATCTTTTGATATGGTTGGTGTTTTTTGCCCTTGTTTATACTTCTGCAGAACTTTGGTCTTCTTACCTTTACTTGTTAAATATTATGGCTAGTGTTGAATTAAAGCCTGTGATTGTAACGTGGATTAAAATTATGTCTTTGCAACAATTAATGAAAAGAAAAGAAGAGAAGGAAAGAGGAGGATTAGCAGATGGGTGGGGAAAGGGAGGGAAGTATGATTATCTTCTTAGAACTGTACCCATGAAATGTATGATATTTATTCTCTTTATATTCACAAAAATAAAAAATAGGAAATTAATTTTTATAATTTCTTAACCACTGTACCACCATGGCAAATTAAATAATATTTTTTCTCTGGTACATCAATGGTTCCTGTTTGGAGAAGGAGAATGTGCCCATTTTCCTGACTATGGTCATTTTCTGTCAACAGAAACATGTTTCATTCTGAGGAAAGGCATGGTATGAGTCAGATAAGATTTAGTCATGGGCCTAATGAACCAAGGTTTGGGTGGAAGTGGGATGAGGTGTGGGACCTGTGAAGAGTTTATTTTAATCCACATATGAAATGACAAAGCTATGTTTAAAATAGTAGAGTGGTGTTAAAAGTAGAGGAGAAGGAGACATGAAAAGGACAGAGAAGAACACCAGGAACCGATCTATTGAACATGGTTGGGGGAATGAAAGAGGAGTGTTGATAACTGCTGACAGCATCCCTAAGAAAGCGTGGATCCAGTGTTTCCATGGTACTTGGATGAAATAAAAATCTATTAGCCATGTATTCTGGGGTGAATAACCCTCTGAGTTCTGGCTGCTCCACTCCTTTTTTTTTTTTTGACAGGCAGAGTTAGACAGTGAGAGGGAGAGAGACAGAGAGAAAGGTCTTCCTTCCATTGGTTCACCCCCCAAAATGGCTGCCACGGCTGGTGCACTGCGGCCTGTACACTGTGCCAATCCGAAGCCAGGAGCCAGGAGCCTCCTCCTGGTTTCCCATGCGGGTGCAGGGCCCAAGCACTTGGGCCATCCTCCACTGCACTCCCGGGCCACAGCAGAGAGCTGGACTGGAAGAGGAGCAACCAGGACAGAATCTGGCACCCCAGCTGGGACTAGAACCTGGGGTGCCGTTGCCGCAGGCGGAGGATTAGCCAAGTGTGCCGCTGCACCGGCTGCTCCACTTCTAATATGAGTTTCCTCTTTATAGCAGGGAACTATAAAGTTTAGATGAAATACTGATAATAATAAAGTGCTTTACAAGTATCATATAATATCACTGTGCCAGTGATTCATCAACTTCATAACCACTATGCAGGAAGAACGACAGCATTGAAGGTCACACATTTGGAATCCTGATTACTTTGCTTTGTTCTACCTTTGTAACTGTAGTCAATGACATAGTCTTCCCACGTCTCAGTCTTGTCATAGGTATATGAATAACACCTTCACTCTTGCAAAGATTTAGTGATACATAAAGTGCCTGGCACCTAATAAATCGTGGTTTCTTTTATACCCGTTTGCTCCATGTGTATTCCACAGCAATCATTGCAGCAAGACTTCTGGTAACACAAAAAACTGAACTAATGTAATCCTAATTACATAATGTATTTTAAAATTAAAGCTTTCTTTTTCTGTCTATATCAATATAGACTTATCACCAGATAGAGATCCCTAAATAGTAACTAGCTAGGCATTCAGTGGGTTTTATAAGTTCTGTTTTGGCTGATATTCAATATACTGGCTCTCTTCCTAAGATGGATGGATTTAAAAGTTTCTGTTGCTAATTTAAGTACAGAATAGAAATTTTATTAAACTCAAGAACTAAAGGCACTGGGCCAGTATTGTGGCATACAGATTAAGCCACTACTTGCAAGACAGCATCCCATATGGGTTGCAATTAGAGTCCCGGCTGCTCTGCTTCTGATTCAGCTCCTTGCTAATGCATCTGGGAAAGCAATGGGGGATGGCCCAAGTGCCCAAGTGCTTGTGTCCCTGCACTCATGTGGGAGACTTGGAAGAAGCTCCAGGCTCCTGGCTTTGGCCTGGCCCAACCTCAATCACTGTAGCCATTTGGGGAATGAACCAGTGGATGGAAGAATTTAAGACACCTCTCAGGGCCAGTGCTGTGGCATAGCGGGTAAAGCTACTGCCTGCAGTGCAAGCATCCCATATGGGAGGTGCTTTGAGTCCTGGATGCTCCACTTCCAATCTAGTTCTCTGCTGTGGCCTGGGAAAGCAGTGGAAGATGGCCCAAGTCCTTGGAGACCTGGAAGAAGCGCCTGGCTCCTGGCATCTGTTTGGCCCAGCTCTGATCATTGTAGTCATCTGGGGAGTGAACCAGCAGATGGAAGACTTCTCTTTTTCTCTCTCCCTGGTTCTGCCTCTTTGTATCTCTGCCTTTCAAATAAATAAATAAATCTTTTTTAAAAAAGATCTCTCTCTCATGACAAGGGTGATAACTGATGCCATAAACAAGAGTGTCAATTTGTTAAGTCAACAACAGGAGTCACTGTGCACTTACTCCTCATGTAGGATCTCTGTCCTTTATGTGCTGTACATTGTGATTTAATGCTATAACTAGTACTCAAACAGTATTTTTCACTTTGTGTTTCTATGTGGGTGCAAACTGTTGAAATCTTTACTTAATGTATGCTAAACTGATCTTCTGTATATAAAAAGAATTGAAAATGAATCTTGATGTGAATGGAAGGGGGGAGGGAGAGGGAAAGGGGAGGGTTGTGGGTGGGAGGGAAGTTATGGGGGGGGAAGCCATTGTAATCCATAAGCTGCACTTCGGAAATTTATATTCATTAAATAAAAGTTAAAAAAAAAGATCTCTCTCTCTCTCCTCCCCCTTCATTTCAAATAAATAAAATAAATATTAAAAAAAGAACTAAAGTTATATTTAAATACCTTATGTTAACTAATATAAGCAGAGTATCAGCTATGCCTAAAAAAGACTCTTCAATCTCTTCTTAATAAAATCCTATTATCAGCATCATTTTAAAATGGATATTAATCTATATTTCATAGGATTTTAGAGAAATGGCACAAAGAATAAGCTCACAGACCCACTAACACCCATCATCTCCACTTTCTTCCTTGGCACTTAGCTAGCAAAGACCTTTTCTGGTAGATTATTTTCAGCTTCCTGAGTTTTGAGATTATTTGGGATTGAAGTTTTGATTCTCTTCCAACTGGTCTTTTAATCGAAAGACCCATCTCAGTTTTCTTTTCTTTCATCTTCCACAAGGAAAATTTCCAGGGGGAAATAAAAACAGTCTAGTGTTGGAGGATGGGGGGGCAGTCTGATCTCTCAGTTCACTGCTCTCTGCTTTGCTTACAAGATTATTTACAGTCTTTTCTTCTGTGTCTTTTTTTTCTCACAAGAAAGCACAAACTGTTTGAACTGGGGCGATTAGGACCCCTTTGCTCTTTTTTCTGTGCAGGAAGGAATTATTTCACGGTAGTTTAGCTTCCCTGGAGAACAGTGGTCTTGCGTATCCGCTCCCTGCTCCAGGGCGGAAAGCTGCTTGTTGAACTTAATTTTCCATATAACTGGAATATATCTATATTACATCTCCAGTTATTCATTTAACAGCCCCGTCTGATGAGTTTCTTTGAAAAAGAGGTCAAACACCGAGATTAAAATATAAGCTTTTAAAAAAAAGTAAAACAAACAATAAGGAACATTAAGCTTATTAAAACTGCTTCCTCATGAATTTTTAAGAGTTTAGTTACCTAATGATAAATGGCATTGTGCAAAGAAACTGGACAGACTAAAAGACACACAAAGGTGTGACTTTTTTCCTGTAAAAATATTAAATCAAGAAAGATAAATTGGTTGATTTAACCAACTTTGAAACTTGATCAGACTATAAAAATCAAGCATAAAATAAATGTGCACGTTCTAAATCTTTGAGACTTCCATTTTTTTTTTCATCTAGGAAGTTGTGTCTGACATTAATCTTCCTGATAAGAAGAATTTTCGGGTGACTTAGTACTTACCATCGTCTTTGTCAGGGACAATTGTAATCTGAGCCCCTGGGAACTCTGATCCGAGTCTTCCACCCATAGGCATACTTAGAAGGACATGGAATGTTTCCTCCTCTTCATACAAGGAGTCATCGATTACAACAATCCGGCACATTTTCTCCTGTTCATCTCTGTCAAAGCGGACAATGCTGGTGTGGTCCTCAGGCCTGGATATGTAATCAGAGTAAGACAGCACAGAAGTCGGCACGGTTCCAGTTGCTGTCCCTGAAGGCCAAGAGAAGACAAAAGGTTTTTAAGGCAGAATATAACACCACAAAGTCATTTCCAGAAGTGATCATCTTCATATGCAGCATTGTCTTGGACATCTAGAATATAAAGACACTCCTGGAATTGCAACAGCATCTACACACTGTTCCTGTACCGTGAGTGAACTGTCCTCAAATTGGCTATAATGAATGGGCAGTTCCAAGTGTTTTCTTGTCTTTCTTGTCAATCAACTTTTAGATCAACCTAATATTACAAAATAATATCTCCTACTGCTCAAGAGCTTACTGTGTATAGGCAAAATGCCAAGTGCTTTACATACTTACCTCATTAATCTTCTCTTAACTACTCTATTGAGTTTTACTGAAGTTTACAGAAGTTAGGCCATTTGCTCTGGGTTCCATAGTCCAAAGCTCCTCTGTGTTAAATCACTATGCTGTACTGACTTTGAAATCATATAAACATAGGGGTGGAAATTTTAGCAAAAGTCAGCTCAGATACTAATAGCACATATTACTCTTTTGTTTACATTCTTCAAAAGTCTACTCGTTTCCTGCACACAGATTTAGTATATTAATGAATATTACACACAACTATTAATTTTGCAATGATTTGCACCTTTCATTGGATATTAGCTCATGAACAAGATGCATATTTTGAAATTTGTTTGAAATGAGATTCAAACTAGTTTTATTATTATTATTATTATTTAAAGATTTATTTATTTATTTATTTGAAAGTCAGCGTTACAGAGAGAGAGGAGAAGCAGAGAGAGAGAGAGAAAGAGAAAGAGGTCTTCCTTCTGATGGTTTACTCCCCAATTGGCCGCAAGGGCCGGAACCGCGCCGATCCAAAGCTAGGAACCGGGAGCTTCCTCCGGGTCTCCCACACGGGTGCAGCGGCCCAAGGATTTGGACCATCTTCTTACTGCTTTCCCAGGCCATAGCAGAGAGCTGGATCAGAAGTGGAGCAGCCGGGTCTCGAACCGGCGCTCATATGGGATGCTGGCGCTTTAGGCCAGGGCGTTAACCTGCTGCGCCACAGCGCTGGCCCCTAAAACTAATTTTAAATAAGTTTACTATTTTATATATCTATTCATCTTAACTTTATTTACAAGGCAGAGTGGAAGAGAGACAAACACAGAGATTTTCAATCTACTAGTTCACTCCCCAGGTGCCCAGGACTGGACCAGGCTGAAGCTAGGATCTCAGAACTCAGTCCAGGTCTCCCATGCAAATTGATGCCAGGGATCTGACTTTGGTTCATCACCTTGCCTCTCAGGGTGTGCATGAGCAGGATCCTGGAATTTTAAATGCAGCTGGGACTCAAACACAGGTACTTGCATGTTGGATGCAGCTGTCCCAAGTAGTGTCTTAACTGTTAAACAAAATGGCTGACCCTGGGACCAGCATTGTGTTGTACTGGGTTAAGCCTCTGCTTGCCATGCAGGCATCCCATATGGGTACTGGTTTGTGTCTCAGCCACTCTGCTTACAATGCGGCCCTCTTCTAATGTGCCTGGGAAAGCAGTGGAAGATGGCCAAACTTCTTGGGCTCTTGCATCCACTTGGGAGACCAGAAGAAGCTCCTGGCTTCAGCCTGGCCCAGTCCTGGCCATTGCAGTCATTTTGGAAATGAACCAGAAAGTAGATCTCTCTATAAATTTCCCCTCTTCTCTCTGTAACTTTAAAAAAAAATCACCTGGAAAAATTCAACACTAGACATGGTAAATATACTTTTTAAAAAAACCTAACCCTTAAATTAATTTCTTTACCTTGGGTATACAGTCCCCTTATCTCTCCCTCTCTTGCTTCTTCCCTCCCTCCTTTCTTCTCTCTCTTTTTCTTTGTTTTAGAAATCTAACTCCCTTCTACTTGAGCAGTACAAGAGGGTTTGAGCTATTTTTGGATTGCAAAGTAGCAAAATGAAGTCATGAGTCCAAGGTGCTCTCAGGAAATCCTCAAAGTTGTAACACTGAACAAAATCTCCTTTATAAATGCTTTTTGTATTTATACAAAAATCTAATAAATGCTTCTTGTAGCAAAATGTTATGTGCTCAACATGTTAAAGACACTTATTTGCTTTTTTACATCTTTTGGGGTGAATTTTATTCATTTATTGTTTCAGATTAAGCTACCTTGTTGTGTGTAACAGATCACCATTAACTCCCGGCTGACATCTCCAGTTCTCCTGATGGGAATAAACAGTTCACCAACGTTTTCTTCAACAGAGTATTCAGGGTGGGGGATAAACACAGTTGATTCTAAAGAGAAAACAAACACGGTCACTGTTACTTTTGTTTGAGCTTCTTATCTCTGATACAATCCTATACAAATTAAAATTCTCTAATGATTGATTATGCATATTCTTCTAGAATAACAGTGTGAAGGGAAGGAGGGAGCAGAGCTGAAAAGAAAAGTAGGTATAAAATACAGAGGCTCTGGAACTGTCAATTGTCAAATCTAGAAACAAGCATGGCTTTTATCATCAATAATCGCTTTTTCCTCAGTAAGTCCTGCTGACACTGTTTCTTCAAACCTTGTTCTCCTGGCACAGATGAACACCTTCTAGTGGAGTGGAGGAGGCAGAAATAACCTCAGAAAGGCTGTCCCACTGCATCTTTTACAATGAGGAAACACAGGCTCACACAGTTGAACTTCTTTGCCAAGGTCAAGTCAGAATTAGAATTCAGATCCTATAATGGCTACTCTGTTATTCTTTGCACCCAAAGTATGTGCCTTTTGAATGATTCATGATACAAAAATATAATCAGACATTGACTAACACTTTTTAAAATAACTATTCTTTTTTTAACTTTTATTTAATAAATATAAATTTCCAAAGTACAACTTTTGGATTATAGCGGCTTTTCCCCCCATATCCTCCCTCCCAACCGCAACCCTCCCCTTTCCCGCTCCCTCTCCCATCCCATTTACATCAAGATTCATTTTCAATTATCTTTATATACAGAAGATCAACTTAGTGGTGCAAACTGTTGAAAATAGCTATTCTTAAAATCTGTTTAGTGTATTTCTCAGTTGTAAGGAATATTTTTGCATTGTCCTTCATCCTCTGGTAGAAGAGCAACCACATTATGCATACAACATTATGTTTATATGATATTTTATGTTTCAATGATTCAGTTTTAATTTATTTGAAAGGTATGCTAAGTAATAGAAATGCCCTAATCAGATGAACAAATATAGTTACTATATAAAACAATTGCTACCATTTAGTTCAATAGTTTGATACTGAAAAACCCAAACAGATATTCTGGTATTTGACTGGGAGTCCATTTCATGGAAAGTCCCACATCCGCACAGAAAATGCTTTATGATTATTTTTAAAACAGTAATCCCCACTGTTTTTGATGATAATAAAAGATGCTGGAATAGCGGATATAGCTCTTGAGGACCATACTCCACCCTGCTCTGTGCTCCAGGAGAGGACTAAGGGCAAACACATCAAGTGTTTCCCTTGCACTCTGGCCTCCGGTTGGGTCAGCCAAACAGGAATACAGGAAGGAGTGTGGAAGGCAAGAGCAGAGAGAGACTGGGTATTTATTGCTTGACTCTGAGATTTCCAGCACGGACTACACCCCCAGATCACTGACTAGGCTTAGCCAGTCTCTCCTCCCTAGAACTCTTCTGGCTTTCATGTGGGGATCCTGATCACCTTTTCTAGTCTTGGAGCGCTTTGCTGTGCCTGGGAAGTTACACATTGTTGCTGTCACCTGTATAAAACAGTCATAAATTATTCATTTTGGATGGGTCACTTGTCTTTCCTGGGACCCAGATATACTCATTTTTAAAATATCCCTATTAAAATCTATGAATATGAATATACATTTTCATTTAGGAAATACTGAGGGGGTGACTTCAGTAGTCAAGCACTGTTCTAGGCACAAGGGATACAAAAGTCAACAAAATCCTTGGCCTTATTGAGTTTTCATGCTAGTTGGGGGATGTGGAGAAAGAAGAAGATAAATAAATATATAAGAAAATGTATAGTGTATTAGGGATAACACATGATATGTGCTGGGGTGACAGAGTGTGCTTGGGCTGAGCATATGGAAGCTATAATACATAAAGCACAGCAAGCACCTCTGATGGAGGCCCATTTGAACTGAGATTGAAAGGCGAGAGCAAGATGCTATATTTGAGTAACCTAGAGGAGAAAATTCCAGGTAAAAGGAGAAGCAAGTGAGAAGGGTTCAGACCAGGTGGTGCCAAGGAGGTACAAGGAACTACTAAGAAGCCAACGTGGAACACTGGGCAAGGAGAAGATGGAAAGACCTGAGACTAAAATGGTGGTGATCCTGGGTAGCAGCCAAATCAGAGAACCATCAGGTAAATGAGAGACTTTGTGTGTACTCTTAAGATATGAGTGGGAATAAATAAAGACATCTGAATTTGATGAGAACAAGAAGATGTTACTTATTCAGAACTTGTTTTAGCAATGTGTTTTGACAGACTTAGAGGGGGGCAAAGAATGTCAGTGTTTACTATAGAAAAAAACTAAGGTTTGGGGTGTGCTGTTAATTGGAGGCTGTGCTGTGGGAAAACCATAGCAGGCTAACTAGACAGGGGCATCCTATGTGTTTTGTTAGGGGGTCATATTTGGATTTCTCTAGCTGATCTGATGCCACTATCAGAGCAAGTCTTGAGTTTATGTTGATTGCAAATAGAGGCTCGGCTTTGTTTCTGGGTTGCTATGGGTTGTGAGCCAGACATGCATTTTAATGTGTGGTCTGCACCAAGAGGCAGCAGCAAGAGTGATACAATATGGTTGTGAGTAGGATGCATTATAAAAGAAGAGGCAGAAGTTTTCTGATGGATCAGATGTGGTATGTGAGAGGAAGCAGAAGATTCCAGGATTACTCCGAATTTTGTTGTCTTGACCAACTGAAAAGATGAAATTGCAGATTATAAAAGTGAGGAAGGAAGACAGTAGGAGACTCAAATTCAGGAGTAGAAATCTTGAGTTCATTTAGGACATATTAAAATCGAAATGCCTTTTAAATATCCCAACTGAGATGTTCAAGTAGCTAGTGGGCACAATTATAGATTCCCTTGGGGAAGTCCAGAATGGAAATGTACACTTGGGAGTCATTGGACAGTACATAAAGCCATGAATCAATAAAATGACAAAGGGAGGGATTGTAGATGAATAAAAAGTGGACCCAGGGACTTGTCTCAGACATTTAGAAGTCACAAAGAGCAAAGAGGCCAGGAGGGAGTCCCAGAGTGAGGCCACCATGGGAATGTGGGTACAGGAGGCCAAGTGCAAATAGTGCATCAGGGAAAAGGGAGTGATCAATAGCTCAAAGCAGCTGTCAAGTCCTGTAAGCTGAAAACTGGGAGACCAAACATATATTTTTGCAAAGGGAAGTCACCAGAAATTGATTGCATTTATCAAAACTGTTTATGTGGAGTAGAGTGGGCTTGAGAGAGAATGAAAGGAGAGGTGCTGAGGACAACACAGTCATTTCCTTCAAGCAGTTGTTTTAAATGGAACAAAGTGGCATCTAGAGAAATGCATTTGCAGGTTTATTTATTTTTCTTTTATTTGCACAAGGAGAGAGAGACAGAGATCTTTCATCTGCTGGTTCACTCCTCAAATGCCAATAATTGCCAGTGCTGGGCCAGGCCAAAGCAAGGCGCCAAAAAGAACTCAATATGGGGCTCCCATGTTGGTGGTAGGGATCCAAGTAGTTGAGCCATTGCCTGCTGCCTCCCAGGTTGTACATTAGCAGAAATCTGAAATTGGGACTAGGTAGAACTCAAACCCAGACAATTTGATATGGAGATGCATGCATCATAAATGGGCATCTTCACCTGCTGCATCACAATGTCCAACCCATGCATGCATTTTTTTTTTTTTTGACAGGCAGAGTGGACAGTGAGAGAGAGAGACAGAGAGAAAGGTCTTCCTTTGCCGTTGGTTCACCCTCCAATGGCCGCCGCAGCTGGCGTGCTGCGGCTGGCGCACCGCGCTGATCCGATGGCAGGAGCCAGGAGCCAGGTGCTTTTCCTGGTCTCCCATGGGGTGCAGGGCCCAACCACCTGGGCCATCCTCCACTGCACTCCCTGGCCACAGCAGAGGGCTGGCCTGGAAGAGGGGCAACCGGGACAGAATCCGGCGCCCCGACCGGGACTAGAACCCGGTGTGCCGGCGCCGCTAGGCGGAGGATTAGCCTAGTGAGCCACGGCGCCGGCCATGCATTTTTTTTTAAAAGATGTATTTATTTATTTGAAAGGCAGAGTTACAGAGCAGCAGAGCTAGAGGCAGAGATTGGGAGAGAGAGAGAGAAAGAGAGAGAGAGAGGTATCTTCTCTCCACTGGTTCACTCCCCAGATGGCTGCAATGGCTGGAGCTGGGCCAATATGAAGCCAGGATCCAGGAGCCTCCTCTGGGTTCCCCACATTGGTGCAGGAAGTCAAGGACTTGGACCATCCTCCACTGCCCTCCCAGGCCACAGCAGAGAGCTGGATAGAAGTGAAGCAGCCAGGACTCAAACTGGCACCCATATGGGATGCTGGCACTGCAGGCAGTGGTTTGACCTGCTATGCCACAGTGCCGGACCCAAGCAGGTTTATTTTTGAATAGAGTTTAGTAAAGGAAGAGTTGTACTTACAATTTTGAAGGAAGATGTCACCAAATATAAAATTTCAGCATGGAAATTATAAGACTTCAGTACAAAAAATATGCATAGTGCCATGGAGTATTCAATATTCCCTGAGTTTATTTTCATTAGCTTTTGGAAATTCACCTTGGTGTTATTAGGTTTTGGAAGTTTTTAAGTCATGTATTCCATGGTATTATAGAAAACTATGGAAAATTTGATTTGCTTATTAGGATTTGTTAAAGAATGACTATTCCCATTATCCTAGAATTTGTGTGTTGGATCCTGAACCCCCAAATTGATGGCATCAGAAGATGGGGGCTCTGGAAAATTACAAGTCTTAGATAAGATCATGAGCATGGATCCCTCATCAGGGGACTAGTGCCCCAATAGGAAGAGGGAGATAGAGACTTCTCTCTGTGAGCAAGCAACAAGGAAATTCCATGTAGGGATACAGCAGGAAAGCAGTCATCTACAAACCAGAAAGTAAACCCCACCAATACTGAATCTATCAGCATCGAGATCTTGGTTTCCTCAGCCTTCAGAACTGTGAGCATTGACTATCTATTGTTTGAGTGGTCTCCGTCTGTGACATTTTGTTATAGTAGCAAGAGTGACTAGGACAGGCAAGGCTGATC